TTTTTTTTTTTTTTTTTTTTTTTTTTAACTGCATCATCATGAGCATCACACAATAAATTATGATGGTACTACTTTGTGTGTAGACCAGGCCTAAGGAGGAGTTGTTTGTGTGCCATTGGTTACCATCCCTGTATTAGAATTCAGGACATTTTTCTTTACAAGTGTAGACTGCTTTCAAGGAATTGCCTGATTTCACGTTGCTAAAATCTGCTACAAATAGGAAACAGATCTGCAGGGCTTCAATTTTTGTTACTACTTAACATAGCAAGGACATCATTATTTGAAATCCTGTTGTATTAGATATTGTGCAAACAAATCAGAAAATGTGGTTCCTGCCCCAAAGAACATATGCTTGTCTTCTGATATCATATCTCTATAGTATTTTCTCTTTCAGTTTCAAAATAATATGAAGTCCTTTAAAGCTTGAAACGAAAGTGTATCCCATCTAAATCCCTATCTAAACCCAAGATCTCCTCTTGTTTTAATTCATGTCATGATTACAAACCCTCTGAATTGTTTTTGGTTCTGGCAGGGAAGGCTCCTATAGCAGCAACTTTATGTGATGTCCAAAAAAAGGATCATGGAAGTGTGGCCTCTTTGATTAAGGCCCTCTTCCTCACATGCCTTTCAAATTACACATGCTCAATTTTTCCAACAAAATGTTTATTCCTAGAAGTATTTCAAATGATATGAAACAGCAAGTGAATTAAACTTTCCCTCCCATAACCCCTCCATCACTAATGTGTCACCAATGGGGATCCATACCCTAGATTTCAGTGACTGGCCCTGCCTCTGAATTCCTAGCCCCTCTACAAGCCCCGTGGGCCACACAACATGGGTCTGGAGGCCAGATGCAGCCTGTGAGTCATAAATTTGACACCATTGATTTAAGCAAATTCCAGGTGAAAAAACATTTTCCAACAATAAGCAAGCCAGAAAAAAAAAAGAAGAAAAAACAACAACTGGATATTTGGGTCCCTGATTGTATCCCCATCACTGACAATTAGAAAATTCAAGCTTATTCATAAAACAGGAATGTTTACTATGAAAACACACTAATAACGGACCTCTTATGCTTTTCTCCAGTCCAGTTTTTCAGGGGATATTTTAAGATATGCCAGAGACCAAATTATATTTGCATTGATCCCCTTTTCTCCCTTCCAAACATGCTTAGGCTATGTATACACTTGAAAGGGTTGATTGGTTGCTATGTCAGTAGTAGCAAACACCCATGGTGAAAATGAAGCTTGTGAAGGTATAAACCAATTAAACCAGTTCCCTCAGCTGAAAAACTGCATTTACTGTAGGCCTCCTTTAGAGATGACTATATAAGTTAGGAGTATGTTTGTTTGTTTTTAACACCTAACAATGCCAGTAAAATTCTCTTTTGCAAATCAGACCTTGTATATCTTCTTTGCCCAAATCTGCTCATGCACTTTCGAAACCTCTGATTTGTCTGTAATATTAAATGGGCTAACTTGTTTAAAATACTGTATGCTAATGTAGTAGTAGACCTGAACAAGCCATTTGCTTATACCCAAAGCAAAAATGATTACATTGCAGAGCTGATTTGCCTATAGGTGCTAAGCATCTTTCAAATTACATGCTTAATGCTGATTCTGTCAATGATCTTTTATGTACCAGATTCATGGGAAGCTCTGCATATTTTGTTTGCTTTGTGAAGCTTATGTCAGGTGGCTACAGCTACAGGATTCAAGCCAAAACATAGATCCCGATGACTTAATCAGATATGCCAAGGAATGGGACTTTTATAGAATGTTTGGAATAGCTTCTTTAGGTAAGAATTGTGATTTACTTCATATAACTATCAACTGGTCTTTTAGCCAGTCCTTAGTTTTATTGAATCCTGATCTTTTCTAACTAAATGCATTGAAGAAATTACAAGTAATAATTGATGTCATGTCCTTCCCAAAGGAGGTGGTTTAGTGATTTCTATGTATAGTCTAAAACAGTTTTGTAGCCTTTCAGGGGGAGATGGCATTATGTGCTTCATTTTTATGTTATTTCCTATTTTTCTTCAGTGCCAGTTCTGACTGAAATTACCTTATGATGAGGAGTCTACTGAACTCAAGGAGGTGGCCAGCCAATTTCACAGGCAGATCCCAGGGCCAGCCACCATTTTTGCAAGCTGAGCGTGCCCCCTCCCAACCTGCCTCTGGCTGAGAGGCCCCAGCAGTCCTGCCCCTCCTTGGAGATTGCTACATGGCCCAAAACTGCAGCTTAATTACCCTGATTAAGCCCTGGAAAGCCATTTAATCTATGTATTAGTAAGCATGGTAATTAATTAGGGTAATTAAGCCTCAGTTTCAGACCATCCCCAAGCAGTGGGCTCTGTGCTTTCGGTGGCCTCACTGAAAAAATACCCAAACTAACTTACTGGCAAGCAGAAAAGCCCTGCAGTCTTGGAGCACAAGGAGGAGGGCAAATGAGGAAGACAGGGCAGGGTGCTGGGGAGAACACCTGCTGCGGGGCACCTCCATGTGCCCTCCCCAATGGATGGCTTGGCTAGGCTGTTCCACCTGCCTCCAACGCAGCACAGCCTGCAGACACCTGGGTTCTGCCTCTGGTTTAGTGGCCCTATGCCCCGCTGGACCCAGGTATCACACTCAGCATGGGTTGGAGGCCCTGGCAGCTCCTCCTGCATCACCCTGGCTGCCTCATTCTCTACCTGCTGCTACTAACTGAAAGCAAACTAGGAACTGGGATGCTGGTGCTCTGCCCTTGCCCCAAGTCCCACTGCAGTGTGGGGGGATGCGGCAGGTCCTTCCTGCTGCTCGTCTTGGGTTGACTGAAGACAGGCCGCTGCTGCTCCGCGCCCCACTCCATGCTGCTGCCGCCCTGACCTGGCTGTCAGGTTCTTGGTAGTGCTGCCACCCCATGCAGCCAGCTTCACCCATGCCCTGCCCCACCTCTGCACCTCCTGTTGTTAGCAGCTCTGCCCCACTGCCCCCTTCACCCTCTTCCCCATACTCTAAGACTGCAGGGCTTCTCTGCTTGCTGGTAGGTTTTTGTTCTTTTCAGTGAGCCCCTGTTTATTTTTGAAGCCTGTACTTTTCTGTGGAGCCTGCCTGAATTTGCAATTTCCACTAAAATTGTACAGTCACGATTTTTGTAATTCCCTAATTTATGACAAAACACTTATATCAGTGTTAGGTATCAAACCATCAGAAGATGGCAGTATTGAGAATGTTTGGTCTGAATTGCTATCTATTTATATGGTTTTGATTTATAAGTAGTAACAGATAGATGCACCTTAGCCAAGAGACCGGCACCCAGAGTACTAACAGCATGCTGAATTTTTATGTGAGGAAAAATTGGTTGGTTAAGAAAAATATTTTTTCATGTGCTTTGAATCTTACTTGACATGGCCTCTAGTGGTCTTTCAGCATGTGAGAGCACCATCCATCCAAAAATACTCCTCCTAGACCTAACCTGTTCCAGAATAGCTCTGTCAGTTGTTAGTTTCCTGTTTTGTCACATCTAGAATCATGAGAAATGTTAGGGAAATGTTTTATCAGTTCTCTTTTGCTAGCTTGTTTAAAATGGCATTGAGAAAAGGCTAGAGTCACACCTCATGCATGGCTGAATACTTATTCTTTTGCTGCAGAGGCAGCTAGCAGATGGAGGCATGAGTTTATTGCATATTGATTTACTGAAAAGTTTATTATTCCTAGAGGTGAGATGACAGTGAGGATGCTGCTGATGAAAATGAACAGTAAACAGGAAAAGCTGTACTAGCTTCTGAGCCATAAATAAATCATTTTTTAAAAGCAAACATTTTGCCAAAGAGCCAGTGGCAAAACTAGTTTGGAAGAAATGTTATTTCCAAGCTTCAAAAATTATATTTAAAACACTTGAAGGTGAAAAATGGATCTTTATTTATTAAAAAGTATATTCAAATCTTTTGTGGTACCCCTGTCTAATTTGGACCCATCCATTAGAACCATAAAGAATTCCCATCGTTTTGCTTCATACTTTCAGGTCTTTGGGCTAGCAACACCAAAAAAACCATAACTTGAAGTAATCCCTTGTCCTGATCCTCCAGCAAGTGTTTCCGTAGATAGATTCATGTAAATGAAGCTCAGGTCTTTACTATTATCATCTCACTTTTCCATTATCAGGTTTTCATAAAATTATGATAAAATTGCCTGAGCTCATGTTTTCAGCAGCAATTCCTCCCTTGCTGTCATTGGGAAACTGTTCTTACAGTGAGTTACTCCATATCTTACTAGCATAGGAAAGGCTTGGTAGTCTAGCAGTGGTTTTTGAGCCTTCACTAATCTTCCATAGAATATCAGTATTGGTGGCCTTGGCCCACAGCTTAAAGACTAAATGAAAAAATGGTCTTTGGGAAAAAAAGGTAGAAACAGAGGAAAATTTTTCACATGGTAGTTTTCCTGCAATATGGATTTGTCATAAACATCCTAGATAAGTGGCTGGATCCTTTGAATAAGATTGGACTGGATTGGTTTATGGGAGTAGTAATTTAGCAAGGTAACTATTACTTATAAAGATAAAGTGGAGGAGGACATCGTGTTCATGATTCATCTATAACATTTTATTAAAATAATCAAAAGCTCATTTGTAGTTGGTATTTATTACACCAAGATTAATTAGGAAAGAATTTGATTTGATGCTTCATGCTATTATTTTCTTCTCCTCTCCGTTGTCCACTCAGAGCAAATTGCATTTTTGGTTGGCATTTTTACTGCCCTATGGGTAGCCAGGCCTGAGATGCTGAAAACAAAGTCTGACTTCATTTTGCTTCTGAAAGCCCTGCTGTTGTCTAGTTATGGAAAACTTCTGCTGATTCCAGCTGTTATTTGGGAACATGACTATACTCCTTTGTGTCTCCATCTCATAAAAGTATTTGTACTGACATCTAACTCTCAAGCAATTAGAGGTATTTTGCTTTTGTTGTATTAGTGTAATATCTCTGTTGCAAATGTTATTACAACGTGTTATTTTAGAATATCTTTTCAGTGATGCTTTTAAAAATCAGATATTAAAGAGATTCTTATGTGTGATTGCAACAGTCCTTAGTCTAGAATTATCACATTGGGCCTTTCATCATGAAACTGAAAACATTAATGAAAAAAAACAACCTTATCTTGCAATCACAGTTTTGAAACTAAAAAGAGATCCATCAGTTACATGTTTTGAAGCAACTCAACATTGGTTACTAGAACATAAAAGTATAATTAATCATTTGTGTAGGGATTTTTTTTTGTAACTACAATTTGAAAATTATATATTGACTTAGAAAATATTCTTAAGCTATGCATAGACTGTTTAGACGGACGTTTTCTGTGCAACTCTTCCAGTGTATATATTGATATAAATCCACAAACAATTTCCATGAACTTTTAAAAGGTTTTAGTCCAAACTGTTTATACCAGCGGTGCTAAATCTCCAGCCTCTGGGCCAGATCTGGCTTGTAGAGCTATGTTATCCAACCTGTAGAGCTCCCAATGGATCCAGAAATTTGGTGGCAGTAGAGCAGTGGCAATTAATACTGCCACCACTCCCTTGTTGTCAGATTTTCTAAGCATGTGGGGCTTGGGCCACAGATGCAATCTGGCATGGGCAGGGTTTAGTACACCCTGTCAAGCTGGGGCTGCACACCAGGCCAGACCTGCATACCAGATTGGGCCTGCAGATCAACCCCACACCCTTCATCTAGCCCACAGAAAAAAAAGGTTCTGCACCACTGGTTTATATTGGGACAGTAAATACATTATTGGAAAGATTGAGTATTTTGTTCTGTTTTCTTTTGCAGTTACATTGAACTTAAGCCGAAAGTTTGCTTTGTTGGCCATCCTGAGTGGATTGCTTTTCGAAAGTGGTGTTGTCTATTTGTTCCAGAGAACGGGATTGAATGTTTGAAAAAGCAGCCCAGCATCCACTTGCTTAATCTTCAATTATTTTGAAGGTCTAAATTAAAATCAACATGGTTATTATTCTCAAAGAATTACTTTCCTCCAGCAGACCCAAATCATTGCTTTTATAATGTGATAAAGAAAATAGTTGGGTAACAAAACATTTTCATTGCCAGCAGTTGGCTGGAAACAGTTCTGGAATTTTTAGTTTTTAATTCCTCACACAAATACAACTTTTGTATGTGCTAAACCATAAAACTTGAGTCTGGACTTTTGTTTTTTCATTAGAAATATGAATGTGCCAGCATGCTAATAGCTTTATCGATCTGGCAGTAATGCAAAGATGTACACTAAAAATGCTGGCATTACCCAACACTAATCACTATTTCATTTTTGCCAAAAGAGGTAGATGAATTGTTCCCCTAAGGGGAAGAAAAAAGTAAGCAATAAAATGAAGGGAAGACTAGACCAATATTTTAGACCAAATTGATTTTGAGAAAGAGAGAAATGAATTGACTAAAATGGACTACTGGATTGGACTATTCTGCAGTACAGAACTAAGGTTGGAAGGGACCTCAAAAGACTACTTAATCCAACCTGGGAATCATACCTGTGACCTTGGTATCATTAGCACCATCCGCTAAACAGCCACAATGCAGTGTACATGCAATGGTAGGACTAAACTGTAGTCTCAGGGGTGTTGAGGGGCAAGTCCAAAGTAATAAAGGAATTTAGGGGTGCACTGATAAAGAGTTTCTTAGCCAATACTGATAGACGATTATTAACCAGCCATATTGGATGATACCAATCTGATAACCAATTTACAGGAATGTAGCCAGGCAGCATGGCTCCCTGCAGATAAGTCTGTGGAGGGGAAGGGGCGTGGGGGCACAAATTGAGGCCCCCATGGTAAGGGAGGGAGTGGGGCAGGACTGGGGCTAAGGGTGCTGTCCAGCCAGGGTGGTGAATGGGACAGGGCCATCGGTAGCTTGTCCAGGGGATCAGCATTCTGGCACTTAAAAATGGCAGCGGTGGCACTTGAACTAAAACTCATCGAATGAGCTTTAGTTCAAGTGCCCTGTCACCATTTTTAAGCGTGGGGACGTTTTTAATTGGAACTGAGCAAGGCAGGCATGGATATGGGCTGCTCACTGTGGGGTCAGGGCTCTCTGCCCTGCTGCCTTTGCCCGAGGGGCCCTGCTCTGGCTGTGTACTCCCTGCCCACCAAGTAGCAGGAGGCACAACTCATCACTCCCACTGCCGCCATTCAGGCAGGCGGCACATGGCCAGCACAGGGCTCCGAAGGGAAAGGCAGCAGGGTGGAGAGCCCCAAGCCTGCAGCGAACAGCACTGTCTGGCACCGGCCCCAGCCCCGGCTCCCATTCATTGCCCTGGCTGGGCAGCATCCCCAGCTACTGGCCTCTGTCCCTGCCCTACTACCTATCTCACCATGGATGCCTCGATCTGCCCCTCACAGCCCTTCCCTCCCCTACGCCCCTTCCCCTCCATGGACTTACCTATATGGAACTGCTCTCCACGCTCCCCAGCTGCATTTCTTGCCACATGCATGCATGAGGCTGTGTGTATGCACACAGTGTCCAGACCGCTGTCCAGAAGACGTATTATATTTATCAGCCAATAACTGCTAATGTAAATTTTCCTTTTATTGGTGCCAATCTGATATGCAACTGATATATCAGTGCACCTATAAAGGAATTATTTTTGAAGTAATTGCTTAGAAGCAGTGTTCTATTTGGTTACATTTTGGTTTGGTTTCATGTCTCAATCTGCTTCCTTCCCTCTATTCTGAAAACTGAAAAGAAAGAATGGAAGGAATTCACATCAGACTCAGTGGCGCTCTTGCTCCCAGTGTCTTTCTGACTGCTATCAGGACAGGTTTGCATTATTCCTCCTCACACAGCCCTCCTCTGGGAGCTGGCTTAACAGAACCAGCTGAGTAGTTTAAGGCTGCTCAGCCATGTTCTTTAATGGGGCAACATAATTTGCAAGAGAAATTAGCTGCTTGCTTGTAATGGCTAAGTTAAAGAAGCTTTTAGGAATGTATGACTGAAATGGGGCTTGCAGGGCCATCGTGTTCAGTTCCCTGGGATTATAGGCAATTACTAACTGAAGGAATCCCTAAAATCACCACTTCCAACCTTCACCTATAGCCTTTAGGAGCAGTTTAAAGAATATGAAAAACACCCTATAAAATGCTATAGGTAAAAATGAGGACACTTGTGGCAGTTGTCTCCATTTTTACCCTAGAAATAAAGGGATATGAAGCAAATTGCCAATTGGCAGAATCCACTTTGCCTGAGGCAGTCAACTTCTTTGGAGACAGACACCTCCCTGGGCAACAATCAGCCAGCAGGCCTGCAGGAGTTGGTGCAGAGGAGAAGGTTAGCATAGCTCCAGTTGGTCCTGGATTGTATGAATTTGCTTCTGTTCTTCAAGCTGACTCCCATCAGGCACAGGGATGATGGGCTGCTTCTAAAACTTAGCGTCACTGCTAGAGAGGTGGTTTTCAGTCACAGGTTGCAGGGGGAAAATCACTGACGACTCCTCTGGCCCTGGTTCTGGTGGGAACATGGAGAGAGAGGCAGTGTCCCCATTCTGCATTCATCACCAGTTTCAAATCTTTAACCTCTTTCTGTGAAACTTATAAAACAGACACCCCTGGGTCTGACACCATTTCAAAATTAATTCCAAGAACAGTACCACTCCTCGATCATTCATCTTCATTGTTTACTTGGTCAGTTTGGGCCACAACTTTAAAAGGCTAGGGGTATTAGGCATGCTGAAATGCCTGGGACAGAGTGTACATGCCACAGTAGGTTAGTTCAGGAGAAGAGCAGATAGCTGCTATAGCTGTTACAGAACAACAGATACTCTGCACAGTTTCAGCAGTTAAATTCACCAGCAACACTCAGAGCATAGCAGAATGTGTTCAGAGGAGGCAAAACATGACTGCAGCTGCCCTACAGCCAGACTACTGGCCACATAAAATGTGAGGGTGCTGGTTGTGGATGTTTTTCCTGTCTCCTTTGTGGAGGGTAAGGTCTTAAGACTTTATAGCTGCAGCTGCTCCCATGTAGCATATACAAGGGCAAAACAAGAGCTGCTAGAAAATTGTGAAGAGAAAGAAATTCACTTGGCATATGGACTATCTGTCAGATGACTGCCTGCATGTCTTACAGACCAGTGTCTGAGCCGCAGCATTTACATGCTTCGTGAGCTGCAAACAGGGCTTTCCTGGTTTGGGTTTGAGAATAAATTCACCTTCAGGAACATCTGGGGCAAGTTTTGGTGTTGTGGACAGGTCCCTCAACCTCCCTGGATTTGTGGCAGCGAACAATGGAATATACATTATAAAGGCAGAACGTGATGACAACTTTCAGACTGTCTCTTGCCTTGCTGCCTCAATCTGCTTGGAAGGGAATTTCTGAAGAGGGAGGCCTAGGTATAAGCACTGCTTTGAATGGTCAGTCAGGCTTGTAGCCACTTCAGCTGGTTCTGGGTATACACTGTGCACTTAGCAGTACAAGACTTGCTTTCTCTGCCATGCTACCAGATGAAACGGGAGATTGAAAACTGGAGATGAATCTCCTTTCTATCTGAAAGCAGCAGTGGAAATATGCAGTGACCTCCATTGTTACCATTCCTTGACTGCTCCTGAGGAAGCTAATTGAAATTTTGCAGCACTTGGATAAGACCACAAAACTACTCATTTTGGAAGATACTGGAATCAGCCAAGGTAGTCCTTTACTGAGGTTCCTAGGAACAAAACTAGTACATGAAGAGCCTTGTACATCAAAAGAATGAAAGCACTGGGGAATTCCTAATAGGGGTGTCACGCTGTCTGTCTGCTTTACTTTAAAATTGGCATCACATAACTGTCAGAAGGAGTGTTTACTTGATGGCGGCATATCAAGACCTCTGGTTTTAAAGTCCCCTGGATTCCTCCCTTTTGCAGAGAGAGAGAGTTTGGTATATCAGACTTTAAAATCAGACTTTACAACCTAGTGGCTGAAGTGACTGCTCAGGGCCCTATATGATAGGAACAACAGCCTGTTCTCACCAAGAGACAAACAATGCTTTGTGTCTTGGTGGATCACAGACTGAATACGAATCTACAGTGTGATGCAGCTACAAAAATGCTGAATGCGGTTTTGGGGTACACCAATATAGGAGCATTAGGTGCAAGATATGGGAAGCAATAGAGCCTTTTTACTTGGTACAGGTTAGACCTCATCTAGAGTATTGTGTGCAGTTTTGGGCTCCGCATTTTAAAAGGGATGTAGAGAAGTCGGGGCCCAGAGACGGGTGACAAAAATGATAAAGCACTTGGAACATAAACCATATGAGGAGTTTGAAAGTAATGGGCATGATCAGCTTGCAGAAAATGTGATTAAATGTGGATATGATAGCAGTCTTCAAATACCTGCTGCTATAAAAAAGAGGGAGAACACCTTTTTCTTTCCATTGCAGAGAGCAGGACATGTACCAATGATTTGAAGGTGCAGCAAAGTACGTTTGGACTGGATATAAGGAAAAACTTCACTGTTGGAACAGGGCAACAGTGGAATAGACTGCCTAGGGAAGTTGTGGAACCTCTGTCATTGGGGCTTTTCAAGAAGAGGTTGGATAAGCATTGGGCAGAGATTATCTAGGAGTAGCTGTTTCAAATGCTCTGTAAAGCACAATAGTTGAAAGCCCAGGAGTACACCCCCTTCCCCTGAAGCCTAGAGCAGGTGGATATTGGAGAGGACTGTGCTCAGCAGCAGGAAAATGAAGCAGTGTTTATGATCAGCTTAAGTATGAAAGATTAAAGCAGCTGGAACCAATTCATGGAGGGGATACAGAAAGGGAACTTCTGGCTGCCTAGTTAGAGGATGTGATGTTTGGAGTTAAGCTTCCTATCCCCAGGTTTCAGAGCAGAATAAAGAGTGTGTGTTTGTTTTTTTTTATATGTCTGGGCTTTGCTAGTGGCCACATGGGAATCGGAAGGAATTCTTTCCCCTCCTGTTGCACAGGTGTCAGGGTTTGATGTGTTTTTTTGGGGGGTGGGGAGTGGACGGGTTGGTTTTTGGTGTTTGTTTGTTTTTACCTGCCTCAAAAGAATTGGATGTTGGCTCCAGCCAAGGCTGGGGATTTTGACTGGGATGTGCCAGTGCTCCTGCTGAGACTAAAAATAGGAGGTTCCTATTTAGAGGGTCTTGCTCCTCCACTTGGTGTCAAACCAGTCAACACATTTGGGTTCAGGAAAGGATCAGAACTGTACAAGCTGTGGGGTTTTGCCTTCTTCTGTAATAGGTATGATCCTCTTCCTTGGATCTCTTAGATGCATTCTAATGACCCTTGCAGCAGCAGGACTCTGTTAGCCCTTGTACCCCTGCTTTACCTGTGGAAAATTTAAGTGCTTTAAGTGTCTTTGGGTGTGACACAGCTGATTGTGTAGATTTA